TTTCTTGTTGCTCCTTGGTTTAGTTGGCACTAATCGTAGATGTGTACATAGGTAGGCTTTTGCCGTATATATGTTTATTGCTCACTCAAGGATGCGGTTGATCTGCTGATCTGGGTAGATGCGTTCAAGGTTAAGTCCTTGCAAGTAATCGATGCGTGAGCGTCGTTAACAGTTGCGTGTGATTTTTTCGCTTACAATTTTCACAAATTTTCATTGGTTTTCTTTATGCCGTGAGAAAAACTTTCACAATCAAATCGCATCAACTTCNAGTCTCTTATCAACTGGAACAGAGAGAATGAGTGATTCACCGTGGCGTGTTTGCTAATGTGTAGTCAAGTGCTTTTCTTTTTTATTAGTTTATTTGGCTCTCTAGGTTTCTTGTTGCTCCTTGGTTTAGTTGGCACTAATCGTAGATGTGTACATTGGTAGGTTTTTGCCGTATATATGTTTATTGCTCACTCAAGGATGCGGTTGATCTGCTGATCTGGGTAGATGAGTTCAAGGTTAAGTCCTTGCAAGTAATCGATGCGTGAGCGTCGTTAACAGTTGCGTGTGATTTTTTGCTTACAATTTTCACAAATTTTCATTGGTTTTCTTTATGCCGTGAGAAAAACTTTCACAATCAAATCACATCAACTTAGCGTTTTCACTCGCCACCCACGAATTTTCGACCAAAAGGAAAAATGCGATGGCATTTAGTTGCCGTTGACAGCTAATCTGTAGCTTTGTATTTACATTCTCCTTCATATGGCAGTGTTCATTGAGATGAGATTGGACTAATAATTCCAGGGTTGTATACAAAAAAATTAAAAATTTTTTTTAATGCAAAGTTACTCTCTCCGTCTAATTAAAACGACAAATTAATATCCTTCTGTATTTTTTATTATTAAATGATTTTATATTTCCATTTAATAGAATTAAAGCGAAAGGAGTTTATGATGTATTATAGCAATCCTACTATTCATTATTTCTTAAATAACTACTATGACATGCAACTCTGCATGTTTGAAAACGAATGCGTCAGTTGAATAATAACAAAAATAGCACAGTGAGGACGTAATTTCTAGAGACAATAAACAAAACGCAATTAATAACNTGAATAATAACAAAAATAGCACAGTGAGGACGTAATTTCTAAAGACAATAAACAAAACGCAATTAATAACAATTTCGATACTAAAATATAGAAAACTGCAAATTAAATGCATTCTGCTGCTTCAACCCCAACGAGGTTACCTGAATCTGATCCCAATGCCAATAGAAGCACTGCGAGCAAATCGGATGAGTTTGAGGATGAGAACACTCGTAGTTTTCCCTATCCTGCCTGCTGGAAGGATGATGCACGAATGAACGTCTTATTGGCACCATTCCGTCCGCGCGAGGTAAACCCTGAAAACTACGAATCGAAATTGAAGTTCTGGCAAGACATGATTGCTCAATACTGCGAACACACCGGTACTGGTTGCTTCTGCAAACGCGACTTGCAATTGGTGTTTGCAAGAGGAGATCGTATACCATATGGCTTAGACACGGTGATGACAGAAATGCTGCAGGCCAAGAAAATACGCATCCGTGCCGATTATGCATATGACCCGGAGAATACGTGGAGTGGTTGGGCGATGAATAGTTTTTTAAAACGCCCTATTTCATGGGGCTGGCAGACATTGAAAAGTAAAATGGGACTGCAAGCTCAAAATGACGCAGGACTACTTGAGTATGTGCATTTGGAGGTGATGAAGGTAGGCGAGACGCTACCATATAGCGGTCAGAGTGTTATTTTATATTTTCCTTCTTAGAAATTCTGCAAACTACTACAACAAAGTGTGCTGCAACAGCACCAGGGTGAGTTGCTACACTACGATAATTTCGTGGAAATCTCGAACGCTGTATTGGCGCTCAAAGAAGACTGTTTACTTTTGTGCTTGCACGTGCTGAAATGCCAACAAAAAATTGGACTGGAGTACAAGGTGGAGGAAAAAGAACAAAAAATACATCTAATCAAAATACCTTGTGAGTTTATCATGAAGTAATAAATGAACGTTATTATATTTAATCCATTTTGCAGCCCAAAATGATGCAAGTATTGCCATCACCGAGACTGATCGTGCTGTTCACAACCTGAAAATGACACAAGCAAGTTTGCTAAAACAACTGGAAACTTTGGAAGAAGATATCAAGGTAAACGAGGAGAAAGCGCGCGCATACCTAAAGGAGAACAAACGCCAATTGGCAAAGACTTACTTGCGTAAAAAGCACTTGATGGAGAAAAATCACGGTGAGTTCAATTAAAAACACTGCAATATTTAAAATTAAACAAATGTATTTCTTTCAGAAAAACGTAGCTCTGCACTACACAACATTGAATCGCTCATCACCAGCGTAGACGAAGCACAAAGCCATGGCCAAATACTCGATGCCTACAAGATCGGTTCAAAAGCGTTGCAGAAAGCGCTCAACGACTCTGGGCTCAAATACGATAACGTCGATGAAATTATCGCTGATGTGCGCGATACCATGGAGACGCATCAAGAAATACAAGACACGTTGGCCAATGCTAATCTTACCGATATTGGAGCAGGAAGCGCTGATTTGTATGACAACGATGCATTGGAGCGCGAATTACAGCAAATACTTGGACAAACGGGACAAACGCCTGTCAGACAAACAAATACTGATGCGAACAGCAACGAGAAGGTAGCAAAAGCTACACCTATCGCCCAACCCAAACCAACGGCGAAAATAACCGATGCTGAGCTTTTGGCTATGCTCGAGGGACTTGGTGTAGAAGATGACTCACCGAAAAAAAGCGAAAAGAGTGCTCGATCTGCAGTCGCTGAATGAAAGGGTTGGAATGGGTCAACCGAAGTTGTACTAATTTGACAGCTATTTTACGTGTATGTTCAGAATGATTGTTTAACTAAATTGTTGGTCGTTTCCATTGCGGAGGAAGGCTCACTACTTAAATTACTCGTATTTATTTTATTAACAGTTTAGGTGAAATGTAAAACACATTGATAAAATATAGTATGCAAATGAAAATAAAGTTTANATTGCATTTGATGAGTACTTCACATGGTAATTTAACCTTTAACAACTTATAGATAGTTTATTCAGATTGCTTTTCACTGCAAAAAAGTAAACAATTTCTTTTGTATGATGAAACAACAACAACCAAAAAAGAAATTTCTTTTGTCTTATTTTGCCATTTAAACGGGTTATTATCTATACCCCCATCTCATTTTGAATTATAACACTTTATCTTAAAAATGTGTAAATCCGTTTTAGCAAAGATTAGCTTTCGAGTTTATCAAAAAATTATGCAGTTTTCAGGAATATATTTTGTTTAAATTTCTTGGACCTTACAAAGATCTTATAAAAAAGCTTAGTGAGGCTTACTTTATTAAATTACTGAAAAACTGAATAATTACGGGAGCTCATGAATAGACAATTTAAATATGCAAAATGTTAAATTAAATCTAATAAAAAAATATTAATTATTTTAATTTTGTACGGAGGCAAAACTGCGTTTTAATCTTTGCTCTATTTATTTATGTGTGTTCTATGAAAGCCTAATTTCTTTTAATACTATTAAATCTTTATTTATTTTTGACATGAAATTTGTTTAGAAAGAATTAGTTTTCAATAAATTCTTAAAAGATTTTCAGTTATTAACTTTTTTACTACAAAAAATATTCTAAAAAAAGAGGCTTAAAATAGCAAAACACATACATACATATAAAAGACAATTTAGTATTTTTTTTACTTTTAAAAGTTAATATTATTACTTTTTTCAAAAAGTTTTTTTGAAAACTCCTTTTTGAATATTTAAATACAACACAAATCAAAGCATTCGCTATTGAGTGCAACTCCACAGTGGAAGCCGCCATGCTAGTTAACCAGTTGGCAGAAGAGGTGATCTGCAGGAAGCGACGAAAGGTTGGATCGAACAAGTGCTGCTTGCTTATAATTCTGGACGTAAAGAGTGCATATAATACTACAAACTGGGAAAAAGTACTCCATGTCCTTCAGAAGTTTGAAGTTCCAGCTAACCTTCTGAAGATTATAAGTAACTATGTAGGTATCTGTCGGATCGGATATTAATTTACCAAACACATGATGGAGCCATAAAATATAATATATCCGGTGGCGTGCCACAAACATCCGTTTTCGGTTCAACACTTTGGAATGCAACGAACGGCAGTGTTCTGCGATTGGAACTGTCAAAAGGTGCAAAAGTAATCGGATTACGACGGCGTTCTGCGACTGCCAGTTTGCCGATAAGTAGCGCATTGCGACAAGTAGGTCTATTGTGCCCTCAGCTCGTCACAGAACTACATTTAGTCCTAAAGATTCCATCAATTTCAGAATAGATCCCGAGCGTAGAGAGTGATCCATAGATGTCCCATGCTCTTCTCCCTTCTCCGTGAAACGGCCCCACATTCCAGGAGGAGGTGCAGTGAAGTCTCTTTAACGGAGTCACAACGGAGGCTCTGAAGTACATCGAAATTGTGTTCAATACTGGGCTGACTTTACGGTTGGAAACATAAAAAAGTTACCGAGGGGCTCCCAAGGTTACTACTTATTCCGCTTCGCGAAGTAACGATAGTTTCCCGGAAGTAGAGAAACGGACGGAGGGGGG